TTGCGCCGCGTAAACATAAAACTATGTCTGCATTTGTGATCGGAGAAATGACAAACAACAAGCGCTACTCTACACTGCTCAAAACTCGCGTTTGAATCATCAGTGGCAAATTCTTTAAATGAAAACGTACTTACGTGAGTCAGAACTGCTGGCATTTTAGTCTAACGTTACTCTCCCAGGATCAGTAAACAGTCCTCCATAAAATGTGCTGCACACATCTGAATATTTGGGTTGAAGTGTTCTGGAACAGTGTTGTAAATACAACTTAACCACTGATTTCTAGTCGTGTCCATTTTTGGAAGGCCAAACAAAGTAGTTTCGCTTTCACAACGAAAAACACAGCGGCCTAGCGTAAGGGGAAGCCGCGGCTTAGCGTGTGCTGAGGCCGGGCTAGAGTGAGCAGAGGCGGCGGGGTCGAGAACGACGAAGGAGTGGCAACCACATTTGACGACCCCGGGCTGGACTCCGCTTCTTCCACGGTGAAAGCCGATCCGGCGATGCACAGCGCGATGTTGATGTATTTCCTCAGTTACCAGCACGGATCAGCTCCAGGCATGACGAAGCAGATATCGTCCTCTTTTGGAAGGTCAAACAAAGTAGTTTCGCTTTCACAACGAAACACACAGCGCCTTCACGACATGACGGCGGCTGCAACAACAATACTACAGCGAGAATATAAGTTACGCCTTCTTTCTTTGCGTGAATATTTGGGCGGCGTTATGCAAATCTTCCGAGATCGTGACGTAGGTATGTGGGGGCGTGTTAGAACCAGCCGTTTTAGGTAGGCGTGGTTGACTTAACTTTTATAAAGAATATCTCTTTGGATTTGAGACTTTAGTCTTTGCAACTTTACAGATCTTCTTTATGCACCAAGAGCTTGTAACACTCCAAAGAGAAAGGAAAAATTGAAATCGCATCATATGACCCCTTTAATCGTACGTGAGCTCTTTGGGATATGTTCCGTTAAAAAAATCTCAAGAGTAAAATACGATTCAATCCAAACATGGGTAAATGCAATAATAAGCGTCCTAAGGTCAGATGTCCATATTTCCCCGGCGTCGCAATCAGGCACATATAAATGTCAGGAAACACGATTCCTGGCTGCATCTTTGGTAAGTTGTAAGGAACACTATATCGAGTCCAACGACTTTTAGTTTAAACTGATTATTTATTATAGGTGGATTTTTTTATTATTATGCAACAAAATAACAACAAATTCAAAGACAGAATAAGAACAAAAGACAACAATGAGGGTTACATACATTAATCCAAAGCATACTATGTTAGCTTATAAGAATGGATAAGGTGGATAAAGAACTCTCAGAGAAAAGTTTCAATGACGTTTCACCCAAACCGACCAATCGACCCCCAGAATGTGAACAGCCATTGAAAAAGTAGGCGGGGATAAACTCCGCCCCTTTGAATGTGACTGACAAAAATTCTATTCAATCATAGCACTGCATACACATTGCTACACCAATCAGAGAAGGCCAGTAGCTCATAGCGTCAACTAAGCTTGGCTGCGCCGGAGGCTCGTTCTCGCCCGGTTGTCTTGTTAGAGGACGTTGGAGTCACAGTCAGGAAGGGCTCTGTATCAAATATTAATTTTAAAACAGCAAGCACTTACAGAAAATCGAGCCAGCATGTACTCCCGCATCGCTAGACCTACCGCCACCCTCGTCCGGAGCTTGTCCACCTCCTCCCAGGTAAAATCTCATATTTGTGAACATGCGAGTGCGCTAACAGTAGCCTCCATGATTTGTATGAATGTGCGATGACGTTAATATGTCAAACTGAGATTAATACAGTGTACTTTTTTCCTCTATACTCATTCGTGTTGCTTAATGAGCCATATACTACAATAGTATAATTGAAACTAAGTTAAGTAAGCCTGCATCCACGTAACCTAGAAGTTACCTTGCTTGACATTTAGCCATCACATTGACGGTATAGGTGTTGCAACATAACTAATTTCTTAGTCATATGGTCTACATGTTTATGGAAGTTGCAAGGATCATTCAGTATTCCCCATGAGTCTGTTGAAATTCTGTTATCTGGCATGAGAAGGTTTTCAGTCGACCTTGCCAACTCGTTTAGTCTGCCTGTGTAGGATCACCCTGGTTCGAGGAAGTATCGCTTTGACTCACGTCCACCTTTGAAAGGTCATTACTGTAATCAGCTACTTGGCTCACTGTTGCGTAGTAAATACAACAAAGTGTCTTGATCTGTAATGAGAGATCAAGCTTAATGCAGCTTTTGTTTTTGTGAACAGCAAGGCCATGGAAAAAAGCAAAAGTGCTACAGAGATGCTGTCATTTGTGCCATCTGATATGTATTATAAGGCTTATACTTTTATTTTTATACAGCAGGGACTTTCAAACTGAGGCTTTGGGACCACAAAAAATTTTAAACGGTGAAAATAAATATTATTAAATAAGATTGAACTAAATAAACACATGTAAAACGTTTAGTTGGTGAATAAATAGTTGCTTTATACGAAGAAACAATAAGTCTTAAAGGGGTCATATGATGCGATTTCATTTTTTCCTTTCTCTTTGGAGTGTTACAAGCTCTTGGTGCATAAAGAAGAACTGTAAATTTGCAAAGACTAAAGTCTCAAATCCAAAGAGATATTCTTTATAAAAGTTAAGAGTCAGCCACACCTACAAAATCGACGCGTTTCAGAAGGCGGGGCATAGAGGAGAAACAATAATGTACAGTATGTGGAAATTAATGTGTTTTTTTTACTTTAAACCGCATAAACACATTTCATTACACCAAATACACAAAATAATGTTCTTTTTAGCAGCATCATATGACCCCTTTAAGAGTACAGTACTATAGTGAGTAGAATTTTAAAAAATACATGTAACAGAAACTAGATATTTTGCAAGTAATATTTTATACATTAATAATATAAAATTTTCACTGTATACATTGAATCTTTATACATTAAAATATAGAGCTGCCTTTTAAATATTAGTACGGGGTCCTTCTCATGAGTATGATAATATTTGTGAGTCTGTGGCATTTAAAAGATTCTTTTTTATAAAAGTCTTTGACATTCTTTTTTTAACATAATGCAATGCATGCATTTCAACTGCCATTTGTGTAAAACTAGTTTGTTTGCATGCTCTAAACACATTCATATGCCATACAGACTTCCTTTGCACTGTCTAAACCATTTACAGAATCCTTAATCACTTGGTTTAAACCCTGTGGTAGTAAAAATTCCCACTGGCTTTTTTCCAGACTAAAAAGGTACCAAGGTCAAGATCAAAAAAATATGTTGTGAGTGTGAACTACATGTGTAAACGCTTAGAGACACACACACTTTTAAAAATTTGCATTCAGTGGTTGTTCTATATTTTGATTTAATCACTTTTTAACAATCGGCTTATGGTTAATGATCCCTCTTTAATGTATTTAATGCACACAACAATATAAAGCAGTACATTTATTGACCTGTGGAATCAAAGGGCACCTTAATGATAAGAGTAAGGTGGATCAGCATATATTGTGACACATTGCAATTTTTTCTCCTTGCAGCACAATGCGAAAGTAGCTGTCTTGGGTGCCTCAGGTGGCATCGGGCAGCCCCTGTCCCTCCTGCTGAAGAACAGCCCTTTAGTGAGCGAGCTTTCGCTCTACGATATTGCTCACACTCCTGGAGT